AGCAATAACTGCGTTTGCTGTGTCCCAGAGGCTATGGTATAATGGGCTATCATTTCTGGTTTCTTTCAAGGAATTTCTTAATTTCACCCATTCTATTATTTCTCAGGTCTTTTACTATGTTGCCTCATTTTGTTATCTCATTTTCTGTTTCCTGGGTTTCATTTTGGTTAGTTTTTCCATTTCTTCTGTTGTTCTCATGAAGGTTCCCTAAATCTCTTGGGCGGACCTAAACATCATTCTTCTGACGTCATGGTACAGCTATTGTTGCAGGTTCAAATAAATGACAGCCACTATGTCTTGATATTGAGAAGTCTTTTATTTGGTTATAACCAGACTGCAAGAATCTAAAAGCGATTCTTTAGACTGCAGTACCGAGTGGACATTTCAGTGAGTTTATAAAGGCAAAAACTCATTTATCAGGGACTTAAGCAAGCATATGACAAAAGCAGAAAGCAAAATTAAGGTTAACATTCTTTAGAGTTAGTGAGCATTACAGGGTACAGGATTGATTATAATGACATCCTGGTTACTATATCAAAATGGAACAATATTAAAGAATAACAAAGTTAATCACAATGTCCTGATCTGTATACAAGAATACATTCTAAAATCAGTCACTGGTAGGGATTTCTGAGAAGGGAGGGAAAGTGGGCAGGTCATCAGGCAGCTTTCTGAGATGGGAGGGGACGCAGGCAGGTCCTCTGGGCAGCCAGCTTTCCGAGATGGAGTTACTTTGGTCAGTTTGCCTCATTCCCTGTCTTAATCTGGGAGTCCAATTGTTGATTCATCAGCAACTTCTTTTGGATTTAGGGCTGTATATTGGGTTTTTATTACCATAGTTTAACAGCCCTTAATACGGTTTGGGATGAACTTTTACCAACGTGTTAATCATGTACGGTCTAAGAGTCCTAATATTAATAGGGAACCAGCAACGCCACTAATTAAGGTTGTGATCCAAAGAGACCAATTAAACAATTTTTGATACCAACTGCCTGTAGATTCCGTTTTCCGCCGCCTTTTCCTCCACACTCTTGCGGACTAAGGCTAGAGTTTCCCCACACAACCCCAGTTTTGTTTACATAAAAACTGTTCCTTTCTAAGGGCAGTGCATTGTCCACCTTGGTTAAGGAATAATAAATTAAGTCCTCATCTATTTGTTCTGCCAATCTTAAAATGGTAGCTTTTAATCTATTAATATCTACATGAATTATACTGGAGGGACTTTTCAAGCCGTGACTCTGGGTGCTGAGAGCAGAGATACCTGTGGCTGTGGAACCTGCAATGCCTAGTTGTTAAATATATAAGCAGATAACCAGGTGGGAAAGCTAAAAGAGAGGGGAAAAAACCACATACACGGTTCTGGACGGGCTTAAAGTACATGTGACCCACTATATTTCATGATAACAGTTTGATTACTATATGCAGAAAACTTAGACTGAGATAACAGCATTTTAAAATGTTTTTATAAATCATTCTACTGGGGGCTCTGACCGATCTTATTAACAATACATACATCAATTGGATCAAGTACATTTGTACATATGTTGCCATCATCCTTTTCAAAACATTTTCTTTCTACTTGAGTCCTTGGTATCAGCTCTTCACCGCCCCCTCCCACCCTTGTGAACCCATGGAAAGTTATAAATTATTATTTTCATATATTACACCATTCACTGGAGATAACAGGATGAAGAAACCCCAGATCGTCTTAGTTTAAGGGGTCTTCTAGGGAAGAATGATCCTTTCACTCTGTTTCAGGAGGGGCAGCCTTGAGATGCACGTGGTGAGTTCCGGCAGCAAGGGTATTCACCTTGACTGTGGCCGAAGTTGTGAGAATGATGCTGAAGGGCTTTTTCTTTTTAACGTGGTGTAAGTCCAGTGGACATGAACCGCTTTAACAGGACACAGTCACCGGGTTGGAATGGGTGCACAGGTAGGCTGCTTGCTGGTGGCTGGGGTACTGCCTTCCTCACGACAGTATGGAGTTGGTGCTGGACACGCTGTCAGGTTTGCAGGGACTTCAGCAAATGATTCTGAATCACTGCCTGCAGGTGTTCTTGGAGCAATGAAGGGGTCGGTGTCAGATGAATGGGACACCTTTACACAACTTTTGAGCCATATAAAAATTTTAAAACAAGGAAGGATAATAATCCTAGCAAGGTAAACCTAGTTTGAAATGTACCAGCCTTATTTATGTAATATTCTCTAAGTGCACAAAACTAAAATAGTTTCTACTTTCATCTATGAAAGGGTGTCACTTTATGTCTTTATCCCACCCCCACCCCACTTCGGGGTATCCAAGTTCTATACTGCCCACCTTTATCAACCTAGTGCTCTGAGGAGACAAGCATGGTTTTGTTTGTTGATGTGAAGACGCGTCATTCCGGTTGGAAGCTTGGGAGTCCACATTCATAAGAAAGTCATGAATCAGGACAGACCGTCCATAAAGTCAGCAGCGATAGGCACCCATTCGCCGGCTTAAAAGAAGGTCACCTAGCAGTCAGCTTTCCATGATGGAGTGTCTGAGTCGGTTTGCCTCACTGTTAATTGTGTCTGAGCTGCTGGTAGCAGAGAGGAGGTTGATCTGTGCAATGATGCGGGAGTGCGCTACTGGAAGCTGGAAACTACGTGGTGGTGAGATAGGGAAAGGGGACGCAATTGGGAAGTGGGGAAAGCTGGGAGGGGAAGAAGAGCGAGGGCAAAACGAATGTAACCATGGCCACAGTAAGCAGGTGCCTGGGTAGGCCAACAGGACAACGGGAAGTGTACTTTAAGAGCTGTAATCAGAATGTATCAGCTCCATGGAAATACGTTTTACGAGAAAAAGGAGAAAGCAGAAAGAGCCAATGAGCGGACGTGTGGGGAGATGAGGAGCAGGAGAGCCAATAGTGACAAGACTCAGGTGTGGGTACTGATTTCTATTGCCACGGCAATGTGGGCATGTCTGCATACTGGGGGTGGGGAGCCCTTGTGTGGGTGTGTTGGAATCTGAAGGAATGTCTATTTTTGTTGGGGCGAGGGGGGGGTCCCCAACACCAAATGGGTCCTCAGGAGCAACTTTGCAACGGTGGGAAATAAGACAGACAGAGACAGCAGGGCACAGGGGCTCCTCGTCCCAAGTCCGGGCTGAGAGTGTGAATGTATTTTCCAGTGGGTATATAGACTGGGGCTTACAGATCTTTCAAAAGGCATACGCGCCATACAGCAAACATATTAGTTGATGGGTAATATCATAAAGGGGTAACAAGCAATGACCCAGTGCTAGTTGACCTCAAATGCCCCTGAGCCCTCCCCAGGGGCTACATTTGACAGTGGTTGGGCTACAGAACCTGAATGCTCTGATCTACAGATAACCACAAGCATAGCAGACAGCTAGATGACAGCAGGAGACATCTTTCATGACAGCTCCTTAATGAAGGGCTACTGCGGGGCCTGGAGAAGGTGTATTTGAAACCATTTCTCTCTTGGAACAATGGAGATCTTTCTCAAAACAGGGCTAGTTTTCCCTGCCTGTGGTTGCAAGTGTAGAAACAAAGTCAAAATACTTTCTACAAAGTCCTCAGCTGACCACATTTTTTTTTTTGCCTGAGGGGAATGGGTAGGCTCATTCGTCTGGGGCCACATCACAAGAGAGAGGGGGAGAATTCCAAAAAGATCAGAGTGGTCTCACAGAACAAAAGCACAAAACTGGAAGAGAATAAAAGTAAAACATAACCCCACCCTCTGCTGGGGATTCCAATTTTGGTATCGTCATTTTGTGTAAATATAGGTTGTGTGGAGGAGGTGGGGCACATGGGATAGAGGGCACCAGAGAAAAAAATTAGGAAAGGAGGAGGAAGGGGGGATGGGGGGGATGGGTTGGAAGGTGAAAAATGAAGCTTGGGTACTGATGAAAGGGTCTAGCAGCAGCGCTACCGACCGGTCAAGTGTCCACCCTGGGGCTGAAAGATCCAACCAGAAAGATGCTTGGGAACTACTCTGTCTAAAATAATAGATGCCCGGAAGAAATAAAAACCCTGGGATTTCCCTTGTTTGCTCTCTTGCCTCTGGCCCATTTCTCCTCTTCCTTCCTCTGCCCGGGCTTCTCTTCTGGGCCTCTCTTCCCCCTGGCTCATCTCCGCAGGCTCTTCCCTCGGCTTCTGCTCTCGGATGCACTGACCCAAAGGCACCCCGCTCTCTCACTGCGCCTGCTTTCTCCCAACCCCGCCTGTCCTGTCGGTGGCTGAGAGCACGGGTCCTGGTGGCTGCGGCAGAATCATTAGCTCTTTCTTTACCCAGTTCCATTGTGCTTCTGCTTTAACGCTCCTTCTTCTGTTCTGCTGGGGAGGTTCCTGTGGTCTCTATCGTGTCTCTCCTTCACTGGGCCAGTCCCCGGCTCGAACCTTCTTCTATGTGACTATCCTCAGGCCCTTTCTTCTCACCCCTTTTGTGCCCCCACTCCCTATAAATCTCCTCTCCCTAAATAAAATGTTTCCATGAAAGGCTCTCGCTTCATGGCTTCATCTCTGAAAAACCTAACACTGAGTATGGCTCCACCAAGCCGCCCACACAATGCGCTATCTCCCGGAGGTCAATGAGGGTAAGGTTTGGCTCCCTGGTGGGCGGAGGGGACCAGGAAAAACACGCTGTGCCTGGATGGTGTGGGGCTCCCAGCCGCGGCTCGTGATGCTGGCAAATGGTCTAAAGAAGTCTGCTAGGAGGTTTTGCTGTCCTCCCACTCGAAGAAACGTGGTTCGATTTCTCTTTAAGTTGAAGCGTAAGGCGTCCCTCCCTGTGGGATCTCGCTGGTAATTGCTAAGGAGACCTTCTCATGCTTGTTATCTGGCAGCCATCTTCTCCACACACACCCCTCTCTCCCGACTGTGCCTTAAGCTGTTTGAGGAGTCTGACATCTGGCTAACACCTTGGCGGCAACAACAGGAGGCTTGTCCCAAGTGAGCACGCTGATGGCAAAGGAGACTTTGTTTGGAGCCAAAGCATCGCCCACACTGACCCTCGTGGGTTTTTCTCCCACTGTGTGTGCTCTTTGGTGTGAGGAGGCCTGACTTCCGGGTAAAGGCTCGCCCACAGTCCTTGCACGCAAAGGGTCTTTCCCCCAGTGGGTCCTCTGAGGGCATGGGAGGCTTGTCTGCCATTTAAAGTCTCGGCCACACTCAATGCAAACAAACTCCGCCCCTGAGGGTGTATTCAGGTGCACAAGGAGGGCTGCTCTCTTCGTGAAACCTTGGCCATATTCACGGCAAACACATAGCTTCTCACCAGAATGGTGTGTTCTTAGAATGGACTCGTAGCTAAAGTGCCACCCATAGTCCACAGCCACATGTGTGGCTTCTCAACTGAGTGTGTACTCTCGTGGAGGACCAGCTGTGACTTCCGTACAAAGCCTCGCGGACACTCCTTGCACACGTAGGGTTTCTGATCGGAATGTCTCCTCTGGTGGATCAGGAGGTCGGACTTCTGGATGAAGCCGCGCCCACACTCACTGCACACGTGTGGCTTGTCCCCGGTGTGTGTTTTCTGGTGTCTGATGAGATGTGACTTCCGGCTGTAGGAGCGCCCGCATTCCTGGCACATATGTGGCTTTTCCCCAGAGTGTATTTTCTGGTGGTGAAAAAGGGATGACTTCCAGCTAAAGGATTTCCCACATTCCTTGCACACATGTGACTGCTCCCCTGAGTGGGTTCCCCGGTGCAAGAAGAGGATTGACTTCCGGCTAAAGGCTCTTCCACATTCCTCGCACACGTGTGCCTTTATCCCTGAGTGTGTTGTCTGGTGCATGAAGAGGACTGACTTCTGGGTAAAGCCTCGCCCACACTCATTGCACACGTATGGCTTCTCTCCAGTGTGTGTTCTCTGGTGTCTCAGGAGATGTGAGTTGCGGCTATAGGCTCGTCCACACTCATTGCATACATAAGGCTTATCTCCAGTGTGTGTTCTCTGGTGTCGCAGCAGATGGGACTTCCGGGTATAGGCGCGTCCACACTCCTCGCACACGTGTGGCTTGTCTCCACTGGACGTTCTCTGGTGTCTCAGGAGATGTGACTTCCGGCTGTAACTTCGTCCACACTCCTCGCACACATGTGGCTTCTCCCCTAAGTGTGTTCTCTGGTGCCTGATGAGATACGAATTCTGGGTAAAACTCTGCCCACACTCCGTGCACACATATGGCTTCTCCCCTGAGTGTATCCTCTGGTGCATGAAAAGGCCTGACTTATGGATAAAGCCTCGCCCACACTCCGTGCACACATATGGCTTCTCTCCTGTGTGTATGTTTTGGTGTGCGGTGAGGCCTGATTTCTGGGTAAAACCTCGGCCACACTCGAGGCACATGTAAGGCCTCTCCCCTGAGTGTGTCCTCTGGTGTATGATGAGAACTGACTTGTAACTAAAGCCTCGCCCACACTCGCTACACACATGGGGCTTCTCCCGGAGGAGGGACTTCTGGGGGCTGATCACGTTTGGTTTTAGACCGTCTTCTCTCTGATTGACTGCTCCAAACCTTGAGGCTTCTAATTCCTTCATTGTTTTATTTGTTCCCAACGAACAAATAAACATCTGTTGAGTTGAGTTGGGCTCTACTGCCCCTATATGGTCTTCCCTGGCAGACTTGCGCGTGCAGATGCCATCTGTCTCCTGACCATCTGAGTTTTCACTCCAGCAGCTCTGACCAGAATCCCGCTGCTCTGGCTTCTTCTCTGAGTGCTTCCCATGCCCCAGACTGAAAGCCCCCGGGTGGGAGCGAGGTTCTGTACCCACATCTGGGAAGATTGGAAGCACGTGTTGGTTGAAGAATTGCTGACAGGAGAAAGGCAGAAGGCTGGGAGAATCGGGGTAGGTTTCTGCATTTGGTTCTGCTGAAGAAAGAAAGTTTACAGTTAGAGAAGCCATGAATGAGCCTGCCTGGCTGGCTGTCTTCATTCGCCATAGACAGTCTCTGACTGTTTCAAGTCCCTGTCTATGGTGTAAGGTTGGCTTTGTGGGAGACAGGCAGGCAATCTGCTTGTTCCATACTCTAAAGCAGGGGTCCTCAAACTACGGGCCCGCAGGCCACATGCAGCCCCGCCGAGGACATTTATCCGGCCCGCCGGGTGTTTTTGCCCCATTTGTTTTTTTACTTCAAAATAAGATGTGTGCAGTGTGCATAGGAATTTGTGTTCATAGTTTTTTTAAACTATAGTCTGGCCCTCCAACGGGTCTGAAGGACAGTGAACTGGCCCCCTGTTTGAAAAGTTTGAGGACCCCTGCTCTAAAGGTCTGAAAGGTCACAGCTTTGAAAACCCCATGGAACAGTTCTGCTCTGAGTTGAACTGAGCCAAAAGCAACGAACAAAACTCGAATTCAACCAGGGCCCAAACACACTGTCACAGTTTCTTCTGACTCATAGTGACCCTACAGGCGAACTGCCCCAAAGAGTTTCTAAGGCTGTTTTATTATTATTGATCAGAAAGTTATTTTAATAGTTATAGAACGCTTTTCCCCACATAATCAGTATCAAATACATTGATATTTTCATCATGGTCAGAATGATTTATGTTTGAGGTTTTGGCTAAGTGGGTCTGAAATCAACAAAAGGTCTGGGACCGTTGGCTCAGAAATCATCCGAGGAAGCCCACCCGGCTGATGGTGGCTGTGCTTAGCTCTTATGATGGCCCGGTCCTTTTAAGGAACAGCATCTCTCTTCCTCTGGTCCTTCTCTGGAGGCTTGCAGGGAATCTGGCAGTGCTCATTAACCACCCTCCAGATCCTGTCATGCATGGCTTCTTCAACCTGCAGCTCCGACTGCATCCATTTCCATCTTCTCTCTTCTTTTCGAAGCTGCTTTAATACTGCTAAATCACCCAAATTGGTTTCTCTCTTTTCTCAGAGGTGTCTTACTACTGCTGAGGTCTAAGGTATCCAATTGTTTTCCATCCCTCTCCCTACTGGAATAAGCTACCATCAGAGACTCAGAGGTTTTGTTTACAGGCATGGCTGACATCCGTTTTCCCGGCAAAGGAAGCTGTTGGAACGGTAGTGCTTGATTCGTGTATTATTCGGTCATCAATCATCCTCATGACCTTGAGTACTTCCTAGAAACATTGAAAATAAAACAACTTGGAACTCGGCAAATTCTTCACAGATCACCCTGCCACTGGGTGCCGCCCTATTGGACCCAGGCTGTAAATCGTTAGCAGAGCAGACTGACACGTCCAAACGAAACTCCCCCACGGATTTCGCCATGGGTTTGAATCGCCGACTTTCCAGTTAGCAGCTAAATGCCAAAGTACTGTGCCACCAGGGGTCCTATACCTTGATCCTTATTAAACCGAAAACATCGAACCAGTTGCCATCCCATTGATTTTAACTCATGATAACTCTGTGTGTATTACAGCAGAACTCTGATTCATGATTGATTTTTTTCAGAAGTAGGTCTCTAGAGGCCTTTTCCAAAGGCATCTTTGAGGATTCAAACTTCCAACCTTAAGATTCAGATGACAGTGCGTGTACGCCTGTCTGCACCATGTAGGCTTCTGGATCCCATCAGTTTTCCAAGATTCAGCTCCAGCTTCCCTCTTGTGACAAATATTATTGTGGTCAAAATATACCATGCCATTCCCCACTTAGCCCATCCCTGCTGAACAATTCTTCTCAACATTAAGACATTCACCTACAGACATCAAGTTGAACACAAAGTCCATCTTTCTCCCTTGGAATGTTCCGTGGTCTTGAACTGCCGACCTTGCAGTTTGCAGCCCAATACATAACCCACTACACCACCAGGGCTCTGATAATAGCATAAATCTGACTATATGGCCTAGGAGATACTGCAGGTTTGGTTCCAGACCACCATTATAAAGTGATGAGCACAATTAAAGTCACACTAATTTCATACACAGACAAACACACAGATGGTGGGTTAGGTTACAAACTGGTCTGCTCGCCACTCTAAGGAACAAAGATGTGTCCGTCTATAAAAATGTACAGCCTCAGAAACTCTGTGGGGCAGTTCCTTTCTGCCCTGCGGGGTTGTTAAGAGTTGGAATCAACTTGAGCACAGTGGGCTGGGATGTTCATCGTCTGTCGCCTGTGTGCTTATATCATTGTGAGTAGACTGGAAAGACTGTAAGAACGATCAAAAGGTAGCACAATAAAGTGAACACAGGTGGTTGCTGTTCTGCCAGGGACACTGAGTTGGTTCTGACCCACAGCAACCCTATGCACAACAGACGGAAACACTGCCCGGCCCTGCACCATCCTCCCAATTGTTCCTAGGCTTGAGCCCATGGCTGATGCCGTGGTGTGAACCCATCCTGGTGAGGGCCTCCTTCTTCTTCCGTGCCCTCTACTTTATCAAACTTGATGTCTTTCTCCAGGGACCGGCCTCTCTCTCCTGACCACAGATGCAAACTACATAGTGAGATGAAGTCGCCCCAAGGAGCACTCTGGCTGTACTTCTTCCAAAGAGATCTGTTTGTTCCTTTGGCAGTCCATGGGACTCTTGATATTCTTTACTTGAACCATAATTCAAGTACATCCTTCCTTCGGTTGTCCTTATCCAAAGTCCAACATTCCCATGCGTATCAGGCAGTTGAATACACCGTGGCTTGGGTCATGCCCACCTACTCCTCCCAGAAACCGACCTGCTTTCAACACTCTAAAGAAGTCTTACGCAGTAGATTTATCCAGTGTAATGCATCATTGATCTCTTAACTGCTGCTCCCATGAGGATTGACTGTAGATCCGAGAAAATGAAATCCTTGACAACGTCCGCATGATGCTATGACAATCCAGTTGGGAGGCCCTTAGTCTTCCCCACATTGAGTGGCAATCCAAACTGAAGGCAGTCATGCTGGGTCTTCATCAACAAGTGCTTCAAGTCTGCCTCAATTGCAGGAAGCATGGTTGGGTCAACTGCTTAGCATAGGTTGTTAATAAGCCTTCCTCCAAGCCTGATGCTACATTCTTTTTCACATAAGCCAGCTTCTCTCATTATGTACTCAGCATGCAGATTACATAAGTACGGTGAGGGGATGCAACCCTGACGCATCTTTCCTGATTTTAAATCAGGCAGTATGCCCGTTCTGTTCACGGGTTCTGCTTGAGTATAATGAAGTGTGATGCGATTCCTAGTCTTCTCATAGTTTAGCCATAGTTTTTATGGCACATGCAGTCAAATACGTTACCATACTCAATAAAACACAAGTACCTATCTCTCTGGTATTCTCTGCTTTCACTCAAGAGCCATCCTTGTTCCACATCCTCTTTTGAATCCGGCCTGTACCTCTGGCAGCTCCCTCTCAATGTACTGCTGCAATTGTTGTTGGATGATCTTCAACACAATTTTACTTGCGTGCGATAGTAATACTATTCTATAATTTGAACATTCTGTTGGGTCATCTTTGTTGGAATGGATACAGATATGGATTGCTTCCAGGCCTTTTGCTTTCTTCATGACGTTTTTTACGTCATCCCACAGCTCATCCAGTTTCCATCATTAGTGTTCAGTGCAAATGTGTTCTTGAGATATTCTCAAAATTCGGGTGGGGTGGATTCAAAGTCATATTTTGACCCTTGTGGACTTGTTTGAATTTTCTTCAGCTTCCACCTGAACTTACATATGAGCAATTGATCGTATGTTCCACAGTCGGTCCCTGGTCTGGTTTTAGCTGCTGATATTGAGCTTCTCCATCTTCTCTCCCACAGATGTAGTCAATTTGATTTCTAAGCATTCCATCTAGAGAAGTTCCTATGTATAGTCATCATTTGTGTGATTGAAAAAAGGTATTTGATATGAACAAGTAGTTCGTCTTGCAAAACTACCCTGTACTCTCCAGCTCCAATTTGATCACTGAGAGCATATTTTCCAACTGCTCTCCTTCCCTTTGTTTCTAACTGTTGCACTCCAATGACCAATGATTATCCATGCATCTTGGTTGCATATCTGATCAATTTCAGACTGAAGACATTTTTTTATGTAATTCTTCAATTTCTTCCTCGCTAGCTTTAATCGTTGGTTCGCAAATCTGAATAATAGTTATATTGCCTGGATTCCTCTGAGGGTCTACAGATATAATCCTATCACAGACAGCACTGTATTTCAAGACAGATCTTGAAACATCCCTTTTGACAATAAATGCAAAACAATTCCTTTTGATTGTATCATCCATGGCATAGTAACTGTGGCAGTTACACAATCTACTGTCAACCTGAGAAAGGGGTGGAGTCTAGCCTGTCAAAGCAGGTTGCAGCTTGACCACATTTGGAGGCACACCGGAGATTAGCTCACTGGTGGCTACTCACTCTGCTTCGTCTCACTGGGAGACATTCCTGTTGACAAGCCACATGGAGTTAAGCTGATGGAGCCAGAGTCCTGGAGCTGGTGGAGCCAAGTGGAGACCCACACCAGCACTTAGATCCTTCCACCGCCACTGGAGCCACAAGATTTTCCACTCACTGTCCTATGATCTTCCTGTATGCTGTGTCATTGCATGTGCTGCATGAGTCTGAAGAATTTATAGTCTGGTATCAGACCGATGGGCTAATATCAGGCTTACAGATGGGCTAATATCAGACTTGGATTGGGCTGGGATGTTTTCTCAATATACAATTGCTCTTTTATATAAAGCTCTTTCTTATACACGAGTCTCCCTGGATTTTTCTCTAAACCCAGATGAACATAGTAACTATATGATTTTGATTCAAAAGGACCAATACGAGTCCATTTCAGCTCACGAACACCTAGCGTATCGATCTTTATGTGTTCCATTTCATTTTTTACTTCCAGTTTGCCGAGATCCATATTCCGTACATTCCAAGTTCCAGTTTTCAGCAGATTTTTGCAGTGGTTTCTTCTCATTTTGAGTTCTGGCCCACCAGCAAATAAAGAACCAGAAGGCTTTACTCCCACGGGCTTCACTCCATTAGCATCATCACGGTCAACTCAACATAAGGCGGCAGCTCCTCTTAAGTTACATGTCAGGTGTCTTCCGATTTGAGGGGCCATCCTCTGACACCATCTTTAACACGGGCCTTCTTACATGTGTT